TATATATATATATATATATATGTTGAGAAGCGCGTAACATGTGAAGAAATGTTGAAATCGAGAAAAAGGCTACCGAGAAGACAAAAAGTTCCCCAATGAGATCTCCAGCAGCTTGAACAGCTTTCTCTTCATCCAACGGGCGGATTTTTACATTAGTGGCATGACCATATATGCGCCGTTGCATAGTTGTCGTAATCCTGTGATTAGCCTGATTCCATTATCAACAACACAAAAAGGTAAAATGGGTGAGCACAATGTTATCATGCAAACAAAAAACCTTGTTCCAATAAATTAAGCAAAATACACATGTCATAGCGAAGAAACAAGAATGGAAAGCTAAAGAATAATTTATAATGTTAACCGATTTATATCCATAATTCTTAAGGATTGAACTAGCTCACAATATTAGGAGTACCAAAAAGAACAGGATGATCTTAAGAAGCCACTTTTCTTTGCCAAAAGGGCATATAAAGGTTGACCTACAAGGCAATTAATAAGAAAAAAGCCATCTTCTTATCACGAATGTATGTTGACTGCTAGAGAGCTATGAGAAATGGAATTTAACACAATTCAAAAGTAAAATATATGTATGTCAGTAGCTTCAAAGAATCTCCAAACAAGAAGGTGAAAAGATAAACAAAACAACGATGATATGACCACTCAACTCCATAGGATGATTGCCCATGTGTGTGTGTGTGTGTATATATATATATATAAGGAGGGGTGGAAGAGATGCGATGCACATTGAAGAATCAAGATCTACATCTGGAAATTGTTTAACTTCAAAATATTGAGAAAAATGTTAATTGGCATCACATTGAATTGGGGTTTATTGCACCAAATCCCCCTGTATTATATGAAATTTGCGCATTATCCATTTGTATTTCAAAAATTGCGTCATACCCCCTTGTATTTAATATCTGCGTGCATACTCGCCCTTTGATATTAACACCGTTACTTTAACACTGACGGTGTTACTTTTTTGTCAAATTTACCATTATACCCTTACTTTATTGTTGAATTTACCATTATGTCATTATACCTTTATTTTATCACTGAATTTACCATTATGC